TGCACTTGTTTCTACTAGCCTTCTTGTTACTAGTAGTAAGGCACTTGCTACTAGTAGCGATGCACTTGTTTCTACTAGCCTTCTTGTTACTAGTAGTAAGAATGCTCCTAGTAGCGATGCCAGGAGCCCCTAGTAGCTTTCTGGCTCCTAGCAGTAAGGCCAGGAGCCCCTAGTAGCTTCTTGTTACTGGTAGCAATGGCCTCCACCCCAATAGCCAATTGGTTCTATCATAACCTCTCATTCGAAGTTGGCTGTTGCTGCAGGCCTGCTGCACCTGGAGCTGAAGCAGGCTGGCAGCTTGCCTTTCTTTGTCCTTAAAGTCTATGTCAACAGAAGTGAACCTTAGACACGCCTCCTGTTTTTGATTCTGGAGGTCAAGAAGGAGGAATAGCAGCTGTTTCTCGGGCAATCCGAACAAAACAGTGCTGAACTTGGAGAACGACATCAAACATGCTGAAACTGCAGTCCTCAAATTGTACCTGCTTTGTCCATGGAGCAGGGCTAGCCAATCAATGAGCAAGTTGGACTTAGGCCGGGAGGGCTTGTGATGATCCCGACAGCTTTCGGACTTGTAGTGAGCCCAGATCTTGATTTGAGGGGAATGATAGAACTCTGCAATTCAGCTGGCAGCATGTTGCAGACGTTTTTCTTGAGAGTGACATTCTGGCAACAAACATTGTGACAACAAACATGAGATGACCGCATCGCACGCCTTCCATTCCATGGAGAGAGATAGGCAGAATGAGACAGAATTAATACAGTCAATAGCTCTCAATGTCTCAATGGACAACCGCCTACAATATTTCATGTACAATGCCTTTCGCGCCCAGATCATCCTCCGGAGAGGTGGCGCAGGATCTTCGGTCGTCGCTTCAGATTGAACTGTTGACAATGTCTTTCCTTGATGATATGCCTTTCGGCATTTTCTGCAAAGGCCAGTCCAGAAGAGTTCCTTGCAGGCTTGGATTGGGGTCTCTTGGTGCGCTCTTGGGCTCTCCAATGCTTTGTTTTTTTGAACTTCTTCTTCGCCTCCATCACAGGTGTTGCGTCATTTAGTCCTGGACTCCGCTTCCATCCCGCCCGACCTTCTGAGGCGATTTAGCAACCCATTGTCATGTTGTGTTTATGCCCGCCCATACTTTTAAGTACTGCAAGTGCTACTTAATTAAGTAAGGGAGTACACACGCTACTAGCAATAAGAAGCTCCTAGATATGGATGCAGGATAGCTTACGCTTCTTCAAGGAAGCTCGGCGGGAGGAGCTTCCTTGAAGAAGCGTTCGCACGAATCATTTGGTTCCTAGATTCTTCGATGATGTTGCTATTTTGTTCGTTCATGTTCGTTCCCCTTTTCTGGGTTTAATTTCAGTTTCGCTTTGCAGGATGGAGACATGGAACGCATGCAGCCCCTAGTGCAGATTCCCCAGTTCTCCAAGTTGTCAAACTCTGTCGAATCACCAAAACAGGAAGGTACAAGAAGTAAGGCGGAGAGTCAGAGTTCTCAATTGCATAGGCTGTATGCAGCAACACCCTGAATTTATGAGGTGTTATGTCGACTTGTGTGGACTGTACTTTAAGTGCATTCGCAACAACTTATGGTCATCTAGCTATGCCCTCCACCTCGCAGAGATGGCCTCCAACCTAGCAGCGATGGCCTCCAACCTAGTAGCGATGGCCTCCAACCTAGAAAAAAGATGAAGGAACTATATTTGAGGGTTGTTTGTGATTTCGATAGATTTAGATGCTTAGACGCTGCTGCGATGGCCCAAGCTTTGCCACGACAGATACATGCTCAACATGGAGGGAAAACAAAAGTATTTAAACACAACATGTCATAGCCACCTTCCTTGTCAATCGACAATTTGAACCCATTGGGAGAGAGGTACGGGTCGTAGGTAAGACACTGAGTCACACTATGCGAGGTCTGAGGTATGGCATGGTCTAGTCAGCCAAGAGCAAAAAACACAAGCTGCGTAAAGAAGCTGCCTTGATGTGATATCATGAGCATTCTGGTCAGCTGCATCCGATGTCTTCCGGTTCTGCTTTCAGAGTGCACGCCTTGGAGCATGGGACTTCCTTGCCCGAGGCTTCGCAAGCACTGCTCTTGCTGAAACGAGTGCAGCGAAATGCTGAAGCCATATTGAGGGCACGTCAATGGTCAATCTTGTCGTTGGTCGAATTATGTTGCTGCAAAGCTGCACCAACGAAAACATCTGCACATGTTGCAGGTTGGTGCATCCCTGACGGTGACGGCAAAACTGCTCAACGAATTGCCATAAGATTAAGAACTCCAAAGGGCAAGGGTCATGCTTTGTTGGAATTTGAGGACGTTTTTGGAACCATGCTACACGAGTTGGCACATATAGTTCATGCCAAACATACACCCGCCTTTTATGAGTTAATGGATCAACTGCGCGAGCAGTGGGAACATCTGGAGGCATCTGGTCGAGTTCTTGATGACCTTGGTTTCCCAACTATTGGGGGTCAACGTGTGGATTACACTTCTCACAATCCATCTACCATGGATGCACGAGCTTTGGCCGTTGCAGCTGCCCAGAGGCGACAAGACTTAGGAAGACTCATGTCATCAGCAAAGCTGGGCTATGGAA